ATGGCTTTTCAACAACAAACATGGCCGGTGGCTCGTCACAAGTTGGCGCGTATCGAAACAGTCGATGCTGTCTTAGCAGCTAACAATGACATACTCTCCCTCCTGACATGATTCCCCATTAGGGATTCTGATATCGGAACCCTGCTAGCTCTCCATTGCTTTATCACACAGTCAGTGGTAGTCCTTACAGCTGAGACATTGGTTATCGTTGTCGGAGTCGCGGAGGAGCTAGTATCGCGTCCATTTGTCCGAACGCCAAACTTTAACAATAAGGCCAACTATTTCTGGCGTGAGATACCAGTGATAGATGGTCGGCCACTCCGATCTGTGGCGCATTTTAATACTACTAGCAGGGAGACGAAACCTAAAGACTCCAACTCGACGCATTTCAACTATTGGAATGCGTCGGTACTATATATACGTCTGTTGCGTCAAGCAAGGCGGTTTCTATCCATGAAACCCGTGAGAGGGATGAGCCGGCCAGAGAGGTCTTCTCAGATGGCCGGAATTGTACTTGCGCAGTTAGAATCTTGGTGCAAGAGTACAAATGTGAAGAGCTGGCTTCTGGTGTTGGGTCGAAGGTGAAGAAGCTTGGTGATGTCGAGGTGCCTTTCAATACTTAGATTTTGTGACTGGGGAGCTATACTTGCATGTCTATGGTTACTAGAGAGAATCAAAACTTCAACCTCAGAAGGGTCCAGTCATACAATATCAAGAGAATCATGTTACAACAGTAGAGGTTATAAGCCGAGGGATGGAAAGCTTATATATAATACATCATGATAAATGACTTTGATGAGAGGAAACAAGATGGTCACTTTCTCTACTTTGTAATATCCAATTCAGAGCTCATTTTGCGTCGATCTTCTCGCCTTTGACCAAAAGTGCCACCATGGCCCCTTCGCCCATTCGAAACTGTGGCGCCCCCATAGCTTCGAGGATAGTAGATATCGTGAAAGAGTGAGTGGTCAAAGCAATGCATGATCCCGAATCATGTCTCCAAACATCCTCAAGTAGTTCTTGTGTCCGGGCAACGTGTGCTTCATTCGACTCTGATTGATCAGCATGCCATAGCACATCTTCTTCAGCGAAGTCTGATTCCAACTCATAGTCGGGATAAGAAGCTTGAATCCACTGCTTCGTCCTTCGCTTATCGCATGTATGATTCGTAAGTCTTTCTCGAAGATACTCCTTAACTATAGGCCTGAACTCGGCCCCTTGTTCCGTGATGATGTCTCTGAAAATCAGGCTCGTTGTCTTGAGACCTCGAGCAAGCGGACTGGTATAGATAGTATTGGGGAAGGGAAAGCCCGCATGCCGGATGCCCTCAGTATACAGCTTCCCGAGGTCTTTAGCTTGTTGAACTCCCTTTTCAACAAGCTCGGCATCAAGCCAAGTTCTATTTGAGTCACCGGGTAGCTTTGACCAGTGAGTCTAATGACTATCAGCTTACTATAACCATGTTCGGTGCATTAGGAGATGCATACCTTCCATTCTTCTGACCCAACTTCCTCCATCACGTCGTTGTGAACGCCGTGGCCATGTCGCGCAACCAGCAAGATTTTATGTGAGACATCTGAATCGTCCTGGTCATTTGATTGTTCGACGTGCTCAGTAAGCCTCGCCCATTCTCGATCATTACCCAAACCGAGGTTTGGCTGAGTGGTGAGCTTCGAACCAGGATATGAGTGAGAAATCACCGGGTAGTCAACAAACCAATCAGGTTCGAAGGTGAATTTGTACGAGCATTTGGGACCTGACATTGGGAAAGATGACAGAAGTGGTGGGAATAAAGAACCCGGATGCATTGAAGGGGGATTGTCGGCAGGTGTATTAAAGGTCACCCGGGCAAGGCAGAAAGGCAATTGCAGTAATGACAAACTGAAAGAAGAAATATGGAAAGCCTAGACCGTAAGACTCACGGCTCACCTAATATCGATAAAGACATGGCTGACTTTGTGAGGCAGTGAGACGGAGGCCCCCTCATTCAGCAGCCAATGATTCAACGCCAACAAATCCCGCGCTTTGCAGTTCTAGACTAACGTCTCAAGACCATGACAAATATCGCTAGGGCTGAATCGTAAGAGCTGGTAAATGGCCACGCCTTTTATCGCAGGGCTTCCTCTGACGTTCTTTTGCTTCTTGTTCCGCCACTCAAGAGCGTTTTTTTTAGCATCACGTCTCTATCTTTCTTTCGCATATGAGGGATCAATGGCTCTAGTCTATTCACAGTTCCCTGTCAAAGCTGGTGATTTACGTCTTGTATCACTCGAGAGCTGGGCTGAAGATATCGCCGAAGCACGATGGAAGCTGAGAGTCGTGAGCTTGCATGATCCGTTGACGCGCTACCACGCCCTGTCGTATAGGTGGGGGGCGCCTATCAACGAGGGGCCTTTCAGAACATACACTAACGAGCGCGTTGCGTCTATAAAATTTGGGGATGGAGAGCTTAAAGTTGCAAGAAACTTACTGGACTTCCTAATCCAGGTGAAGGAAGACAAAGAGCTAAAAGATAAGGAGTTCTGGATTGACGCCATATGTATAAATCAGGAGGACGACGATGAGAGGAGTTATCAAGTCAGCAACATGATGGCTGAGATCTACAGGAGAGCTAGTTCTGTCATTGCATGGCTTGGGGACTCGGATGCGCATACGAAGCAAGCTTTCGATCACATGGCCAAGGTAGCTGACCGGAACATCCTCAAATCATTGGGCATGCCAACTAGACGAAGAATCTCGGAACCTTCCGACCACGAGGAGGCTTGTTGGGAGGCCATTGGAAAGATCTTCGATAGGACCTACTGGAACAGATCATGGATTATCCAAGAACTCGTACTCCCAGAGCACGTAACTCTCCGCTGTGGAGTGTACTCAACAAATTGGGATGTATTTGTGAAGGCTTCGCATAATATATCAACGAGCCCTTTGAAGCAGTTTTACGACAGTCGACCCGCCGAGGGAACATCATCTTCCGCCAGCAGCTTGAGAGCGTCCCGTAATTACGGAGTGCCGGCGATTCTAAAAGCAACGAAATCAACCATGGCCACAGAGCACTGGGCTAATGTGCTATTATACACGCTGATAAGATCCCGTGACTGCGAGGCTACAGAGCTCGGGGACAAAGCATACGCTCTGCTGGGACTTATCCAAGGTCGTCAAGGTATTGAGCGGTTGCCGCCGTTGCTGTGCCCAACGTATGGAAGAAATTGCAGTCCTGGAAAGACGTACCTCGACATAGCCATTCAACTTCTCATGGATTGTGAGGATCTACTCGTCCTTTCTTGTGCAGAGGGCTTTCGCAAGGTAAAGTTGAATGGCGCAGACCTTCCCTCCTGGGTTCCTGACTGGAGTGTGAGATATCCTCTTGGTCTGAGAGTCACAGGATATAAGAGATATCAAGCAGATTCATTCTTTTTTTCGGCGGATACGAATTTGTCACGGGAAGAGAAGCTGGCCCTTTGGCCTGCTACATTCAACGAGACTGAGCTTACGATGACTATCCACGGAGTACAAGTCGACAAGATCTCTTTCGTTGCAGAGCCAAAGCGCGATGTCTTGAACTACAAACCCTTTCCAAGACTCTTGGATATGCTATTGAGGCTGCCTGAAAAGGATCAAGTCACCGGCGAAGGTCGAATGGAAGCTTTCTGGCGGACGCTGACTAAAAATACTTATGGAGAGGCCAGAGTTCCTCCGCCAAAAGGATCATCAATGGGGCCTAGTTTTGCAAAATGGTTAAAAGAGAGAATGGAGTCCGTGGTGTTGTCTCCAGAAGACGAAAAGAATTGGACGAAGCTCAAAGAAGCTTTCAACAAGTTCTGGCCCCAAGATGCAGAATGGCTTACCGCCACCAAAGGATACGAGTCTGTCTCATCGATGGAATTTAGCTCGCAATTCGCATATGGGGAATACCTTCGACCGTTCGTAACAGAGAATGGATACATCGGACTTGGCTCACAGAATTTGCAGGAGGGAGATACAGCCTGGGTGGTGCCACGATCACGGGTGCCTTTAATATTCAGGCGTTTGGGCGAGTTTGATCCACAGGCGGATCACCATTGCCAGTTGGTAGGAGGGACATATCTCCATGGGTTCATGGATGGTAGCTGGTGGGGAAAGAAAGCAACCAAAGATGACACGCAAGCTATCATAATCCACTGATCAGTGACCCTGACGCTATTTAGTGTATTCAACGTAAACCATTAGGCATACTACGTAATCGAACCACAAATCAGATGCACTGAACAATTGGCTGGCACATTCTTCGGCCCAAACGCCCAACATACACTCCAAAGCACTTACATGAACTAGTAGTTCAGTCCATGCCACACTCACCTTCGGCAGTCTAGATAGATTACAGAGTCATCCCACTATACGTGATGTAAGTATCCATGTAAATACTAAGGAGTCGGATGGTGTATATGACAGGACCATACCAATTGCTTCGGTATTGGATCGCCGATGGACTGGGGCAACTAAGTAGCAGGGGTCTACTCCGTAGACTCCACGGGAAGGCCAACCCATGCTGCCTGCACCTGGTCGCTTGGCCATTTAATCTCTGAAAGCGGACATGAAATAAAGAATTGGGATCTATCTTTTTCTTCTTCTCAACATGCAATCACGCCTTTAACTATACTTCTCTTTTGTTTGCGGCAAGGTCTTGAAGATCTTAACATTTACGCGAATGTTAGTGGTTTCAGGATGAAGATTTCCCCGCCATGAGAAATAAAGGATTCTATTCGAGCCTGTAGCGCGGTTTCAGGGCTGTATAGTTAAATGACCACCTCATTGAAGCCAGAATTGATTGGAGCGGCTTTGGGCCTTCAGTTTAGACTTTTGGCCTGATACTCCTGACCAGGCGCTTAATGTGGATTATTACAGGGCACGAAATCGATAAAAGTGTTTCTGATATGTTTACTTTCACTCATCGGCTCCTGTACATTCATCCTTTCGTTCTCTCGTTTGCCAAGCGCCACGCTGATTAACAATATACATTCATTATGACACTCATTTACACAATCTTGTTTTCTTTTCTTTTCCCTCTTTCCTATGCTTTCACTCACCCTGGTTTGTTAGTCACCGACACCGATATCACTCGCATCAAAACTAAGCTCGCCGAGAAAAAAGAGCCTTGGACCGCGTCGTGGAATAAGCTGACGAGCATCCCATTTTCCAGCGCCGACTACAAGAACAATGCAGTCAAAGAAGTGAACAGAGGCCAAAATGGGGAGGTCCTATGGCACGATGCGGCTGCTGCGTTCAACCTTGCTCTGCGCTGGAAAGTCAGTGGAGAAGACCAGTACGCAGAAACCGCATCAGGCATCCTTGTTGCTTGGGCAGATACGCTGGAGATCCTCAGCGGGGGCGATGATGCCTACCTTACCGCAGGATTGCAAGGTTATGAGCTTGCTAACGCCGCAGAGCTTCTCCGCGACTACCAGCCATTCGCTAAGAACGGTCTAGCCAAAGTCATCAGCATGTTCAACAAAGTATTCTTGCCGATGAATCTCGATTTCCTCAACCACGTCCTGGGATCAGAGCACAATGTCAAGCACTTCTTTGCCAACTGGGAACAGTGCAACATCGCTTCCGCTATGGCTATCGCAGTCCTCACCGACAACCAAACCACCTGGGACTTTGCCGTTGACTACTTCAAACACGGTGAGGGTAACGGTGCTATCAATAACGGTATCTCGAACATCGTTCAAGAACCTGGTACGGGCAAGGCTATTGGCCAAGGGCAAGAATCTGGCCGAGACCAGGGTCATTCCGCGATGAACTTCCAAGTGCTGGGTGCCATTGGACAGCAGGCATGGAATCAAGGCGAAGACCTCTTTGCCTACAACAACAGCCGCATTCTACTAGGGTTCGTGAACCCTTGACTTTTTAACCCGCTGTGATAAGGTCTTCTGAGCTAACTTCTGCATTCAGAGCCGAATACTTTGCTCGATACAATCTTGGAAACGATGTACCATTCGAGCCCTACACAAACGGCATAGTCTCCTTCGATGTTATCAGCGAAGCCTCTCGAGGTGCGGTTCGACCTGCTTGGGAGCTGCTCTATAGTCATTACGTCAACATCAAAGGTCTTGACGCTCCTTGGACAAAGGCATACCTGAACAACTCCTTGGAGTTCTTCGGAGGATTCGAGGGCGGAGCTGGATCTTGGGGAGAAGGCTCGGGCCACTATGATGGACTTGGCTGGGGCTCTCTTCTCCATCATCTGGATGAATCTGACATCCAAGCTGCAAAACCCTCCGCTGCTAGCCCTGAACCAACTACAACATCAGAGAGTCAGCCAAGGTCAACATCTCTAGCGACAGTCCGTACTGCCTCTGGATCAAAGACTGCCACAGCTGATGAGGGTGCCGAGACCACTTCAGTAAAGCCATCTGCCGTAAGCGCCCATCGTTCTTCTACGACAACTGATACTGCAATTCCCCAAATTACGGAAGAGCCAGGAAAGGGATGTCGTGCAAGAAGGCCGAAGAGCCGCAAGCATAAGGGCCGTAAACATCACTCGGTTGTGAACTAGGAAGTTGAGTGGTGTGAGACCTCTTGTCGAGTAGCTAAGACCCCATCGGATAAATGTCAAGAATATCTGGGGCATGGGTTTTGATGGGATTTCTTGTGTATATTAGACTTATCGTAGCTGGTCTACAAGGGCAAAGGGAGTGATGTGAAACTGAAGCTCTATCACTATTTTTAAATATGATATAGCTTACAGTGTACGGCTTTATGAGGCAGCTCGCAAGTAGGTTCACAAATTCCAGCCCATATTTGCCAACACCACGCGATATCCATCAGCGTCCTCAAATGTCTTTCCGCACTGGTCCCAATACGGATTAAAGCTCGTGACAGAAACAATGCCCGCTTTCTCCATCCGCGCAACTGCATTGTCGAAGTTCTCTTTCTCAGGCAGGTAAAAAATCATGAGATTGTCCTGCGTAGGTGATCTACCGGCGTCATGTCCGCGCTTCGCTGTGAACTCAAGATGATAACCTGCTCCCTCGTGACCGAGCATTAGGCCATCGAAGCCGTCATGGTCACGAAACTCGCCAATCTTCTTAAATCCCAGACCATCGACGTAGAAGGGTAGTAGCGCGTCTATATTGTTTGTCGGGCGGGCCACGCGAAGGTGAGCGGATGCGACGGGAGCAGACATTGTGTTGGTAGCGAATTTGAAGTGAGGTGAAATCTGAGTAGCTGACCTCGGTTTTAAGCCAGGTCGGGGCTTTCTTATACCCCAATCGGGGCCCGCTTGATGATATTCCGGGGTTGCCGATGACTCACCTTTATTAGTCCAACATCCTTTGGACTAAGGACCAAGGAACCAAAGGCATTTGCCGAGTCTATGATATAATGTTTCAATGTGGAAATAGCGCAGCCGGCTCGTAAAATATTCCAAGAGTCCCGTAGCGCTTCTATAGTCCTCGCACTATTCAGGTCTTCATCTGTGATCTACTGTTACGGAAACTCAAAGGCAGGGTAGAATATTATAGAGATGCAGTGGAAACTATCTCCCTGAGGTCTCCTTGGAACTGGTGATGACACGTTTGTATCTATATTTGCTGCAAAGTCAATGATAACTCATTCCGATCTGACAGTGAACATGTTCGCAGTCCATCCTGTCTATTTGATTGAATAATGCGGGGTGAGGATAACAAATTGTTCAGCATTGACTCCACTGATTCACAGCTCTGAGTCGTCCTCACGATCCGAGGTTCAAAGTCATGATCAAATAAATCTAAGCGCATGTCACTGATTCACTGACTTGCTCTTGGTACATAAAATCAGATTTCTTTTTTGGAAACTTTTGATTACCCATTGTTCCTTGAAACCAAGCATTACAAATGCAACCAAACAATATCTTCGCTTTTCTCACCTATACTAGGTCTTCTTAACAAACATAATTATTCAAGGGAACAGATATAGCCCTCGCCCTCACGAATCATAAATGCCCCCTCAACAAGACTGCCCGGTATGCCAGGGTAGAGGCATACTCGTACAACGGCAATATTGGCAGGCAAGTGTGCAATGTCCACAGACTTGGCAGCATTGCCCTCCTGGTGGTCACACAGCGACATGCTTCGCCTATCAGCAGACATACGGACGGCGAAAGTGCCCTTGCTGTGTATGCTATGGGGCCGGAACAATTATGGCGCCGTTTTACCAAGATCACCAGGTTCAGTGCAGGTGCATGGGTCATTTCTAAGTTAGACCTTGTTTTCATTTTACAATGTTGGTGGCCACAGTAGAGCCAACCGATCTCAGCAAGCAATAAGGCTTCATATCGTAAGATAAGATGCCAAAATTGACCACTCAAAGGCCAACTCCCGTGCTAAACCTATCTATTACTTTGAATCATTCAGAATAGTCGTCTAGAGTTTTGTTGCCTTCCACAGATTAGTATCTTACTCATACAGGACACATATTTAAATAAATCGGGTTTCTATTTCTTTTCGACCAAATTTTGGGGTTAACTAGCTTTTCGGTTAATCGATAAATCAGTCCATCAATGATCCAAAAGCACAGTCAGTACTGAATAACTTCGAAAGGTCGAGGGCAGTATTCGTGGATGGGGCTCAGCAAGGTTTTGGTAGAGATACCTTGCAAAATGCAGGGAAGCAGGAATGATGTATTAAATATATGAATATAGACTTCCATTGCCATCCATATTTCTTTCCCTTTCCGCGTGGAATTTACTGTTTCGTACCATCGCGCACAGCAGTGACGGCAAACGGGTTGGCAGTAAAGGTTCCATTCGGGTCAGCCTTAGCCCTAGCCTTGCCAAGTCTCTTATACTTATCCGCATCCTCATAGTATGCTTGCCAAATCTCAGGCTTACTCATATCCCAGTCTCCCCAAGAACCCCAGAGCACACGGCGATCCTGCTTGCTGAAGGGGCTCTTGGCTCCGATCATGATAGTATCGTTGGTCTTCTGCCAGCCAAGAGCATATTCCCTATACTTGGCACCAGGGTCGTGGAAACAGTCTAGTGTTTGGACGACAGTGGAGTCTCGCCAACTGTAGGACGTTCCGTTGTCCTTGTTGAGCAAGAAGCGCGAGTTCTTACCACCGAAGCATTGGATCTGCACTGAGAGCTTGCAGTGATCGTATACTTCTCCTTCCTTGTCGCTCTTGTCGTTGTCAAGCTTCTGATGGGGATTGTAGATCAAATCCAGACGCTTGACTACAGCATCAACCCAACCGTCCTTCTGGAGAGTCTGCGACTTTGTAGCATAGGTGCGCTTGACATAGGGGAGTTCGAACTCTCGACGCTTGGGGAAGATCCACTTTCCAGTCATGGTGTCCATGCCCTCATCAAATTCATTGATCAGAAGAGTGTGGTTGCTCCAGTCGTTTTGAAGGTCTCTGAACTGCTTGAACCAGTTGTCAACGGTAGAGTCGTACTTGTCGGTCTTGTTGGTAGGACACCATTGGGCATAGAGGACGATGATAGCAGGGAAGCTACCATTGAGCAAATCAAGAACATCTTTGGCTAAAGCTGTCTTGATCTTCTGCTGAATCTTCTTCCAAATTGTGTCATCTCGGAGCGAAGGGAACAGCATAGTAACAGGGAAGTCTGTGCTGAGAACACTGCAGCAGAGATCGTAGCCTCGTGGGGCAGTACCTTCATCAGACATCTTGGCGATGAAGCCGAGCAGACGGCTGAGTACCTTGGGCTCATACATCCACAGGCCCTTCAAGCCGTGAGGTCCCTGAGAGTGTTAGCGTACTTTCGCACAAAGCGGCAGCTTCTCACACCTTGAAGCCGTTAGGACCAGCGACGGTTCCCATGTAGCTGGAAGCACGATAAACCTCAACGGTGTAATGAGTAATAATGCCGAAGTTTCCCGGGCTGCCACCGAGGATGGCGTAGAAGAGCTCAGAATCACTCTCCTTGGTGACGTTCTGGATGGAGCCGTTGTGATCAATCAGACGGATCTTGATAATGTGATCGCCAAAAAGACCAAAACTGCGGCCGAGTTGACCATAGCCACCAGTTTGGCCGTGACCACCGGTGCAGACGCTGAGTGGAATTAGCTTCGATAGTTTGCAGTAGCCGGTATAGTAGACTCACTAGGCACATTGTCCGTGGGGCACGAATAGATTGACCGAACGAAGGTAGTCATTAAAGTCTTGCAGTCTGTTACTAACACCAGCCAGCACCAGAGCTCTGTCATCAGGTACTCCATCTTCTTCCAGGACCATCATGTCCTTGTAAGTGTTGGTGAGATCAATCTGGATGTTCTTGCCGCCGGTGGAAGAGGCACCAGAATACTGATGACCACCCGACCTGACAGCGACGCTGACCTTGTTGTCCCTCGCCCATTGAACAGCCTTGATGACATCTTCATCTTCCTTGGGCTGGACAATGAGAGCTGGGTTCATGTCATGCTCTGTCTGGTAAGAGGTGGTAGCATATTGCTGATTGAAGAACTTGTAATCCTTTTGGCCAAATTGAGAAGAAGTGTCTCGGGAGTATTGCATCCCTTGAAAATCTTTAATCTTGAGCATGATGATTGTGATGAGCGTTGAGTTTGTGGTGATTGGCAGAAGAATTGTGGCTTTAGACGTCCCTTATATTCTTCTTGCCTGCCAAGATCCAAGAGGGGCGATGCTGGCCGCTGAGCAAAACAGCGGCGGCTGATCACACTGGCTGTCGACTTATCGAGCACATGTGTGGACGGTCCGCACTAGAGATTAGCGGTCTATCATTCCTAACATCCTGAGACATGCGTAGTGGCTGCAACGGTTGGGGATGCGGCTGAGCTTGGTCCCAGGGATCATGTCTGAATAGGCAACCAATGGAGCTATTGAAGTGATGTTACAAGTGAATCCTCTAGTCTGGTTTCCATCTCCACTAGAGCGATACTTTGAGACACCGGCACTTGAGGTGTGAAGATCATGTGAATTCTGACTGTAATTTCACGTATACGACGTAGGTACACGTAAGACTTACTGTATTGCACATGCGTGTAAGATTGGTTGGTGGTATCAACACCTTTCTCAACCAATAAGCAATAGCCTTCCATAGCAGAACCGTATTCAGCCAGCCACCTTTTAGGCACGTTTCAACCTACCACGGGGTCCGACTTCCGACATTTTACGGATCGCTCTGCGCCAGTGCGGGGGAAAGAGAGACTTCGAGACTGTTTGCGGAGGTCATGGCTTGCATGAGACATAAGCTCAGTCGCACTATTGACGCCAAGGTTGTGACAGCGGGACGGAGATCGCGAGAATATTACGCGCGTCCAGTACCGTTTGCAGCACGGTAGTCAGCATGCACTGTAGAGGGCTGAATGAGGGGAGGGGAAACAGAAACATGGCGTTGACCTGGTGACTGAGTGGCCAAAAGAAAGGTGAGACATTAACGGTAAATGGCGAATTCTGAGACTATCCCTTGCAAATGCATTTAGAGTTCGAGGGATCTCTCTTTGAAGAATAACGTTCAACTACTGTGTGATAAGCGGCTTCTAAATACGATGGTTCACCGAATGCAGTAACAAGCTACTCACACTAAACGGTGCTCGCTCACGCACGGCAGAACTGTGCCGCTCCAGGTGGCTTACGCAAGGGAGAACAAACGGTCTAAGATTACCGTATTTTGGTGATGGCTGGTCAATAGCTCGAGCCACAGAGTTCAGCTTTTCTCAAAGTGTGCATTTGTTGAGGTTTAGGGCTGCCGCATGTCCCGGTCTAGACCACGCGCATTCCTTTCAGGGTAGTGAGGTTGGGTTTGCAGCTAAAATGTTTTAGTGCCTATTGGTTGGTTTGCTTGCAGATGGGTTCAGAAGGCTAGGTACGGCCCGGTACTTGGGAATAGAGGAAGAGCAATGCGACGTCCGTCAAGAGACGGATGGATAGGTCTGGAATTACGGTATCCCTTGTGATGGCGTTACCATGTTTGCTCTTTCAACGATGGATGATTGAGAGCCAATCATACTGAAGTTCTTTTGGATTATAATGCAAGTCGTATTACTGGTCAGCAAGACGTAGCCCCAGACCCTTTCAACCTCAGCCGCTCGTCGATGGAGGGAGGCCACTCTTTTAGGGCTGATAATGGCCAAAGCTCATAATACGTGTAGCAGATATATATAACCAAGGCCGTCCAGAATAGTGTTCCAATATTGGCAAACCCTGTTAAACTAAATCTCTCACAGCACAATATCCACACAATGATGCTCCCTACTGCTCCCGTTGTCCCCATGGATTTGGGTGACGACTTCAAGTTCGGTCCTACCGTTCTTGACCCCATTCAGCCAGAGGACCAAGAGAACCTGGTCCCCATCCATGGCTTCCCCAGTGTTGACCCCGCTGGTGGTGATGTTGCCATGTCCCAGCTTGATGTTCTGGCACGCTTCTTTGGAACCTACAGCGGATTCGGCTTTAACACCATTTTCCGCCCTAATGGGTAAGTAAAACACCTAAAAGATTAGTGGAAACATATACTGATTTGGAAAAAGAACAACAACTCCTACACCTCTCCCTATTCTACCTCCATCCGAGGATCCCAATGACAACATCCTCCAGCTCAACCTTACGTCTGAGTCCCTAGCCTTTGCTAAAGGACGTCTAGACGATGTCCCTAACCGCGGCCTTGACACTCAGGCTGATATCATGCTCAACGGTGTGCCATACACGCAGACAATTGCTGATATCACCGAGATGGTGAAGCCGCCAAAGAAGCAGCCCGTCATTCACTTTGAGCCTGGTCTGTGGATGCATGTTCCCGCCAGTGAGCAGATGCCTGTACTTGCAGCTTCTCTGTCCCGCATGGCATCCATCCCTCATGGAACTTCCATCAACGCTCAGTCTTTCACGGCAACCATCACTGCCAAAGGCGCGCCCGTCTTCTCGCCAGTTGACATCACCCCTGTCCTTATTGCCAACGGTCAGAAGATTCCGTTCAGAAGTCAGACTCTCACCAACAAGAACACACATCGTCTCCCCCAGGATCTTACAAGTTTTGACAAGGCCGGCACCATCACGCAGGCTATCTTGACTGATCCCAACACTATCCTCCGCAACGCCAATGTCGGAAAGAACATTATCGAGAACACAACATTTGAGGTATCTTCAGAGGCTCAGAACCCCAATCTTGGTGGCGGAACGAGCAACATCGGTTTCCTCATCGGTGCCGACGCTGGTGTGAGCTCTGCTTCAGTTGCAGCCCGAAGCGGCAACGCAAACGCCGTTAGAGTCACGGCCCAGTACTGGCTCTCCAGAGTTCGAACCCAGATCAACCTTCCTGCGTGCCATGTCACAGACAAGAAGACTGTTTCTCCTGCCTCTCACGGTCCACGTGATGCCGTCCCCAGGTTCCTGGTTGACATTGACGTTCCTGCTGCCAAGACAGTCAACATTGAGTACATCCAGATTCAGTACTCTCAGAATGTCATCCTTGACTTCAATGGTCTTTCATGGCCCCACGTGACAGTTGGAACTTTGGCGCCAACCATCCGTCATAAGCTGTCTCAGGTTCTTGTATCTCACTAGATAGTGACATGATCCAGGTAGCTGGGACTTTCTATGGCGTATGCATAGCTTTACTGTGGGCACCAAAGGCATTTGGGCCAGTAGATAGCGAGTTTAAATCTAAGCTCTAACATAACATCTTTTGTCTTGACAAGTTATCTTCATCTTGGCCTGATGGCATGAGCAATTCCATAAATTTGCATTTCTTCGACAGGTGCCAAAATCAGAGTCTTCTCACAATTGTTCAGCGGGGCGGACCTACTGCGTCAACTAGAATACGAGATGACCTGTCAGCTCTTGTCTCTTGGCCTATCCGTTCAAATTTGCATGCGCCAAAATGAGGCCAGACACATCCGAGCCCCAAGCTCAAGCAAGAGGGGTAAACGTCCTGTCCAGGCGCCACTAAAGGTGCCCAGGACTGATAATTCCAAGTCCAAATCACATTCCCATCAGTGATCATCACTCGCACGTTCCGTTAGTGCCGTTGAAGGTTTATCATGGCTTGTGCCACCCCCACCTTTTCCATTTCTCCCGTTGCTCCAACACGGGCCGGCTGTCACATTCCTAACCCCGGATGGGACTTCAGCTAAAGAAAGCAGTCAGACTTGAACTCTATGGGATATATTGCATCGAAGTGCAGAGATGTGGCTTGGAACTTAGGTTCAATTTCTGCTCAATTTTCCGACCGCTCAAAAGTTATTGGAAGACCATGTACTCGTGGTCGCCTTCTGCAGCTGTCAGCGTTGTAGTATTGCTTTTCTGCGTCAAGCTGAACACGGCACAGCATGTGATGGTTGCGCTCTGTAGGTAAATTTGTGTCATTCAAACATCCCATTCGTAGACATTGTTGAGTGGTCAGCTGAAATCCCAGGAATGGAGGCGGATGATGTATTCAGATAACAATGATGTTTGAATCGTAATGCCCTCCTCCCGATCATGCTATATACCTCGTTTTTCTCAACTCTTCATGGTTTCTTTGCAGGCTCTCATTGAAGACTTACTTCTAATTGTTCCCCCAAATCACATCTTCTAGACTGTAACCATCAACATGTCTCTCCTTGATCTGAACTCTGACTTGTCCATCAGAAACCAATGGGCTCGCCAGCACATTAACAGAGCCATTCGACAGGATTGGAACGCCCTTCTTGAACACAGCGATGATTCTTCCGAGCTAGGTTCCCTTCCTTTTATTCCCAAGACCTCTGAGCTCCCTCCTGCCCCTGCCCCCCAGAAGTCATCCGCCCCCCACGACCATGAAGCTCAAAAGCCTCGGGTCGTCAAGATCGGTGTCATCGGCGCTGGAGCAGCTGGCTTGTTCACGGGTCTTGTCTTGGACTACCTCAACAGTGAACTGAAGAAAGGTTCAATCCCTCTCTCTTTCGACTATGAAATCCACGAGGCGGCTGGATCAGATCGAGTTGGAGGTCGCTTGTTCACTTACAATTTTGGTGGTCGACGTGATACTCATGATTACTATGATGTTGGCGCGATGCGATTCCCTGACAACCCAGTTATGAAGCGGTAAGTCAGTCCCTTGTGCTACATTTCGCTTGATAGCTCATACTGCCCAGCACATTCGAGCTCTTTGGCAGGCTTGGCATGGAAAAGACGGACCTGAAGACAAACCCCAACGCACCGGATGGTTCTCTCATCCCATACTATATGTCACCTAACGCACCCAATACTAACCCCTGGTGCTACAACGACATCAACGTTTGGGGCGCTTCTTATCAGAGTGTCCAGACATCTGCTGGCACTGTTGACCCGTTTCAAGTTGATACTGATAAAAGTATCGACCCCAAGTAAGTTACCTCACAAATGATGAGTATTTAGGTAGCGAAATTAATTCTAACTATTTCTCAGGCTTCTCAAAGTTGGGCCAGATGAGGTTGTAAAGGCCAACATTGAGCCACTTCGTCAAGCCCTGAAAGAAGATGCAGAGAAGACTCCTCCTGGTGACAAAGGCTGGAAGATGTTGATGGAATACGATACATACAGCACTCGACAATTCTTGGGCACGTGAGTACTTTCTGACGCTGCTGATTTTCTCCAGAAGCTGATACATCCAGTGCGAACCCGAAGGTGAAACTCCCTAAGGACATCCCACCACCTCCATATAACTACGAGACCATCGAGTGGCTCGAGACCTTCAACGGGTAAGTTGTCACCAATATTACCCCTATTTGATACTGACATCTTTCAGAGGAACAGACTGGTACGATCAAGCTCACAGTGAAACTGTTCTTGAGTCCCTTGACTTTGAGTTCAGCCCTGAGACCAAGTGGTTCTGTGTGCTCGGTGGCGCCCAACAGCTCGCCAAAAAGATGGAAGAGAGAATTACTAGCAAACCCACATATCACAACCCAGTCGCTGCTATTCGCGCCGTGGGTAAGATGGACGTAAGGCTCGATATTGTGTCTGGTAAACGATCTGAATATCGCCATTACGACGCCGTCGTGGCCACTACTACCCTCGGATGTCTTGGCCGCATGGACACTCGTGAAGCTGGCCTGAGATATCCGGTCAAGCAAGCCATCCGCTCTTTGGGCTATGGTCAGTCCTGCAAAGTGGCCATCAAGTTTAGCCACGCATGGTGGATCCACGATCTCAAGGACTTCAACATTCGTGAGGCAGGTCTAGGCCACTCCGACCTCGCCCTGCGAACTTGTGTTTATCCTTCTTACAACATCTATGACGCCAAGACCAAGACAGCTGTTCTTCTGTGTTCTTACACCTGGCAGCAGGACTCTGATCGTCTTGGATGTCTCATGTCGACAAACAAGGACCACGAGCAGAAGGTCGCCGATGAACGAGCCCTCAAAGAGCTTCTGCTCCGTGATCTGGCTATCTTGCATAGAAACAAACAGACCAGTGAAAGGGATCTATACAATCTCATCAGCAAGAGTTATGTAGATCATCATGCCTACAGCTGGACTGAGGATCCCAACACTGCGGGAGCTTTCGCGTTCTTCAGACCCCAGCAGTTCAGCTCCATGTGGAACAGAGTGATTCAGCCATCGGGTGATGTCATCATTGCCGGTGAAGCCTCAAGCCCACACCATGCTTGGGTCGTTGGTGCCCTTGAGAGTGTCGTCCATGGGCTTCACTCCTGGATGGGTACCAATATCACTTTGGTTCCCGAGCTGAAGCATGCCAGAGACATTCTGGAGAAGGATGAACCCGGAAATCCCTTTGTCGGTCTCCCTCCCTATATGGATGTGAACATCTCCAACTGGCATGCTGTTATGGGTGTCGTCAACCGAGACAAGCATCTAGAGAAGATCGGAGGGTCTGATAACAGCAATTTGTTGTCCACCCTTCTCTCGCACTTCAATGTTGAGGCTTTGAAGAAGGATATTCCTGCTCGATAACTGGTTTCGACTGGTTCCCGGTTGTTCTGCTGGTGTATTCAGATTGAGTCATGACTCATGAGATCAGTATGATGATTCTACTGTCCGCTCTTTAGCTTTTTACAACATTTTCATGATATCTACTCTCTTGATTCATTGCTGCCGTCCATGATGAGCTGCAGCTTCCATCTTATTGCCACTGTCTGAAATCCGTTCAGTAAACTTGGCTGATGCCAAGATGTATCATGACCTCCTTGACTGAGCATCTTTCGCAGTATTTGCTGTCATCGTGATATCATGTCGGCAATATATTCGTCCCCGATCTTTAAGCTTGACTTAAGTTTCTAAAAAACGCAATGTGATTCCCTGAATATAAGGGTTGAACATAAGTAATTGTCCCCTTTGGTACCATAGTATTTGCATTCGGTGTATGCATAGAACTCTCAATTGAAGTTTTCCTTTGTCCAGACTGATGCAGTCTCCAACACTCCGGAGCAGCGCTTGTTCTTGACATCGCCCGTCCGTAGTGACCTCTCATACACCTGCATGGGTAATCACGCCTCACGCCTCACACTAAAAGGCCGCCAAGCATATCGGGTCAGCATTATCGCCGCGTGTCGATCCTGTCCAGTAGAACGGATGAGCTCGACCAATTGGCGGATCGTAGATTCTTCTACACCGACCCGATGATTACATTTTTTTCGCAGAGATCTTCTTGCCAGTCATTCGCGGTCGCGATCAAACGCACCGTCAATAAACAATTTTCCTCATCCGCAAATCGGGTACCCAGAACATCAATTACGCGATGCAGGCCCATCTCGACAGCAGTAGGCCAAATTATCAACCTCCCCGACGGTAGGAGTCTCGGCTATCACGAATTTGGTGATCCTACAGGAACTCCAGTGCTTTACATCCATGGAACACCAGATTCTGGAGTCACACTCTCTGGATTTGAACACCCTCTCGCGAAACAGCTGGGCGTCCGCTGGATTGCCCCAGATCGTCCAGGTATCGGGAACTCCACATTTTATTCGCACCGAAGAGTCTTGGACTATCCAGCCGACCTGAGAGTTTTGATTCAGCATCTCGGGCTTCCCTACTATCGCATCATTGGAACGAGTGAAGGAACTGGCTACACTCTTGCATGCGCACAAGCATTACCTAGAGAGGAGTTATTGGCGGTTGGCATCTGTGCTGGCGTCGGGCCTTGGGAAGCCGGTCAGGCCGGTCAAAGTGGACTAATCCAGAAACTCATAATTGTTTGGAAAGACCAGAACGAAGAGTTCGTCAAGTACATGGAAAGCACCTTTCTCGCTGCGGCACAGGATCCCGACCCGGCCAAAATGGAAGCAGTCTGGAGAGAACAGATCAAGGGTTTCAAAGAGGAAGATCGAGAAGTCCTGGAGAAACCAAGCGCTTTCCAGTCTGCTGTCAGGGTTTTCAGACAAGTTTATGCGCAAGGAGGTGCAGGTCATGGCCTCGAGATGAAGCTCAACACTGAACCTTGGGGTTTCAGCCTGGAGGACGTCGAGTACGAGAGTATCCGACTGTGGTATGGGTCTGCTGACGAGAATACTTCACCAGAAATGGGACGATACATGGCAGAGAGGCTACCAAAGGCGGTCTACAAGGAGTATCCCGGGGAGACGCACTACACTATATGGAGAGAAGACTTGTTGACGGAATTTCTCAAGGACCTAATACGCTGAAAGAATGAATCTTTCTGGTAGCGATTTGTCATAGCGATCAGGGTTTTTGGTAGATGCAATCTTTCAAAAGAAGCGGAATTATAACAAACAAGGCATCAGTTTGTTATGTAAATACCTGTGGCCTGTTTCTAAGGCTCTCAGTATTAACGAACCAACCATTAATGCCAAGCTTTAAGCCCAGTAGCAGTTGACTGTAGTTGTGGCCCGTGCCCTCCTCCTGGATGAAGATATGATAAGATAAGAATGAAAATGACGTACTCGGTATCGCAAGACCAAATCATTGCGCTACCCTAGAGATGCATTTTACATTCAGCAACAGAAACCATCAAAAAACGTGTATAACCTCCTCCGTAGTTAATGATAAAGCTAGTAGCAACTTAAATATAGCAGGTATGTCGATTAGCATGATATAAGTGAGTAACAAATGCGTTTGGCGAGTTTAAAGCCCGATTCTAAGCACGCAATGTTGCAATCTCGTTTTCGATACTGAGCGAGCGACCAAACTAAAATAGCTCACCCATATCAACGCGTTGGAGACGCGACGCGAGCGTGATAAGAGATCGCCTACGTGTCATTTGCACTCCCCAACTTCTCCCCGCATTGTTATCATCGTACGGAGTGCACGCTCCAACATTCACCTCTTGCACTGTGCCATGGGCAAACCAACATCAACGTAGCACAGCGTTTTAAAAGATAGCTGTTGCCTTGCGCGTCAGATTGCCCTTCATGTTTCTTGACTGAAGACAGAAGCGAGCAAGCAGGCGCATGCAAACTCCGTTCGGCACAAGCTGAGTTGTCCTTTTATCCTACAGTAAAGCCTCAGACTTATGCAGTGCGCAGTATTCCAAGACTTACGCAGTGGCTACCTTGCATTAACATGCATAACTCTGGACACGATTATGCAATCTTCACAAACCGACGCAGTGCACAGTCAGTCATCCAATAAGAGCCACGCCCGGTTAGCTCAATCGGTAGAGCGTGAGACTCTTACGAGTACGCGATCTCAAGGTTGCGGGTTCGACCCCCGCATCGGGCTGTTCCTATATATATTCGATTGCGAGCGTTTGCGAGGCTTTCCTTTTTTTTTTTGTTTATTCTTCATTACAATGTGATTTGTTTGCATCTATCTGAATTGTTGAAAGCTCATGCATGCTGTGTGTTTGCGTTGTCAACCTCTTGTCGTGATGTTAAAGGACCTGTCCTCCTGTTTGCCTACTCTTTGGAGAAACTGCTAGACACTTTACTTAGATGTAACAATGCGCTTCGTTGATTTTTGCATTCAGAGCCAGAAAGCTCCCGTGTTTGCCATGCAGTCAATGAGGTCGGTTCAGCACAACATACCTAGTAAACGAAGACAAATAAAAGAACATCATCAGATATCAGTTTGCGCACAAAGTGGCGCTCATGTTGAACATTGTAATACTATATAATGCCTAGAAGGGAACTTCTTCTTCCCATCATTATCTCTCAACATTCTGAGTTCGACACTCAACCCTCCTCTACCAATCGCACAACTTCATCATAATGGCGACTCTCCATGCTCTCAAGAAAGCCCTCAAAAAGGTTGGCGATGAGGCGCCCCGGAAACCATTGAACGATAAAGAGTACGACGATGGGCTCAGCCTCTTTGCCGAGGCCTCCGGTGAGCAGACGCACCAGGAGAAGGTCATAATTCCTCAACTGTCTGAACTGATAACCTCCCTCTCGACGCGTGATGAGATCTCAGTCTTGGAGATTGGCCCAGGCCCGGAAAGTGTTCTAGGGCGCCTGCCGATGACTCTGAGGAAGAGGATCACAAAATACGTCGCACTAGAGCCATCTTTTCAATACACCCAAAGCCTACGAAGATGGCTATCGCCTAAGGAGAACGAGAGACCACTCCCCTCATTGAACTATTCGTTTATTCGCCCAGCTCCCTTCATAAAGGGGAGCTGCCCGGGCGAGAAGTACGACGTCATTCTTTTCTGCCATGGCTTGTATGGACTGAAAAATAAAAAGGAGATCATCAGACATACTATAGAGATGCTGCCCGAAGATCCGCTTGACGGTATGGTCATTACCTTTCACCGCGCTGGCTCTCTCATTTTCGACAGCCTGGTCTGTCACCGTTCGCTGTCATTTCCCAATCGCGCTGTAGCTATCAAAGACGATGATGGAGCCATCGACAGTTTCACTCGCTTCATCGTCGGATACCGTTTGACAACCGGAGTATTATATGAGACCCGCCAGGCTCAGTGGCGGACGATCTGCCGTAGACTAGCGGGTCATGACGACGATCGCCCAGGCCATCTTATATTTAGCTCACCTGAAATCATGACAGCAATGACCCGACATGCCAACAAGCTACCTGACTTGACCGCTCTTGTACCATCACTACCCAGGCCCTACAAAGTCAAGAGTCGACAGGCGCTATACAACAGACCTGCTGCTATCGTTAGACCATTGGAAATCAGCCAGGTTCAGTCGTGTGTTCGATGGGCACTGACCAACAGAACTAGCTTGGCGATCCTGGGCGGTGGCCACAGTGATCATTGCCTTTGGCCTGGTGTAGTTTCCGTTGATATGAGTGCATTCAACAAAGTCCACGTCGTCAATCCACCCCAAGATGTAGACACGGAATGTTGGGTTGTCGCAGAAGCTGGGTGTAAGACGGGGGACATCATCCGTGAGACCATGGCTGTGGGTGTGACACTACCTTTGGGCTCTCGGCCGAGTGTTGGTGCAGGGCTTTGGCTCCAAGGCGGCATTGGACATCTGGCCAGACACTGTGGCCTCGCCTGCGACGCTATCGTCGGGGCTGTCATGGTAGATGTGGTCAGCGGTCAACTTCTCTGCATCGGTTATGTTCCTGAACAACATCGACCTCCGAATGCCGTTCGTCACGAACAGGACGAGGGACTATTGTGGGCCTTGAAGGGAGCGGGAACGAACTTCGGTATTGTCATCAGCGTTACTTTCAAGTCTTATACAGCTCAGGTGTTCTCAGTGCGTAATTACGGTCAGCCAAATGGCCATGACGCTGAGAAGACACTGACAACCAAGAGTCGCGAGGTATCCAGCCTGTATCCTCACAATATCTCTTCAGACTTTTACCTGTACTGCGAAGGTGGACAGATACGTTGTGGAATGACCACTTTCTTATGTTTCTTGGAGGGTGACATTTCTACGGGACCGACTCCGAAAACGATTGATGCTATTGAGCTTTTCGACAAGGAGATGTACGTATCCAAGATGCATGCAGGACATGGGGGGAACAAGACCTCTGCCTTCAAACGATGCGTTTTTCTGAAGGAAATAGCCAACCCATATACCATGAAGGTCTTGATAAGTGCCACGAGGGATGGTCCTACGCCCTACTGTTATTTAAACCTTGTGCATGGCGGCAAAGCCGTGAGGTATGTTGCACCTGAAGAGACTGCTTTTGGTTGCAGAGACTGGGATTTTGCTTGCGTCGTCACTGGTATTTGGCCCAGAGAATATGATGGAACACACACTGCTGACGCTGTTGTTCGCTGGGTCTACCGGGTTGTGAACGAGCTCCTGCCAATGAGCAAAGGTGTCTATGGTGCGGATCTCGGCCCTGATCCTCGAGATAGTATCTTGGCCACCAAAGCTTTCGGCCCCAATCGCCGAAGGCTGGTTAAACTCAAGAAAGCATTTGACCCTAAGAACATCCTCGCGTACACTTGCCCTCTGACGCTTATCGGCCTGCCACAGAAGCTCGTCATTCTTGTCACCGGTGAGCACGGTGCTGGGAAGGACTATTGTGCTGGTGTCTGGTCTGCCGTCTTCAAGGCACATGGATATAGTAGTCGGGTGGTCAGTATCAGCGAGGCAACCAAGAGAAAATATGCAGCAGCAAAAGGTGCTGATCCTGACCGTCTTATTAATGATCGACTCTACAAAGAACAGCACCGGAAGTCTCTTACTGATTTCTACAAGACTCAACTGAAGGGAGAGAGTTTTGCGGCAGAAAAGCACTTTATCGAATTGCTGAAAGAAGATGGTTCGGATGCGCTGTTTATTACTGGTATGACGGAAACGGCTCCTTGTGCAACGTTATCACACCTTGTTCATGATGCCAGGCTGATCGACGTCCGGGTCCAGGCTAGTAAGGCTACGCGAAAATTGCGAAGATGGGGAGATGGAAGCAAATGTCAAACGCCAGACAGTGAAGAATACATGTCTGCAGACGACATCTACTTACCAAGCTTTACCTTTGAGAACGAAACAAATGGAGATGAAGCGGTGATGTGGTTTGCCAACCAACGTCTCATTCCTTTCATGAGCAAAGAGCTTCAGAATCTGGCTGGCATGGTGCCAAAAGTACCGAAGTTTCCACGCAAGGGTATCGACTTTCGCTACGTGCTGAATATTGCCTAACAGAAGGGAGGACTCGCGCTGTGCACTTCGCTCCTGAAGAGTCACTTCTTAGGTGACTGGGACAAAGTGGATGCTGTAGTAACTAGCGAAGCCAGTGGGTATGTCTTTGCCTTGCCTCGCCTCTAGCACTGGAAACAGCGATACGTCTGGTTCCCATCGTAAAAGGCAATAAATTCCCACCGCCTACGGTGTGTGTTCAGAGACGTTCGTCACACATCTCATCTCACATAGTCGGCGCGACGGATAAGTGTATTCTTGAGATGAACGCTAACACAATTCACAAAGGCAGTAAAGTGGTTGTTGTTGACGATGTTCTCGCAACCGGAGAAACGCTCGTGGCGGTGCTCGAGTTGCTGGTCAAGGTTGGCGTACGACCAGAGGATATTAGCGTTATGGTTGTGGCGGAGTTTCTTTTTCATCGTGGACGACAGAGGCTATTGGAGAGTGCGTTTGGAAGAATGGCTGTTCAGAGCCTCTTGGTATTTGATGGGCAGTAGGAGTGAAGGTCTGAGGTATCTCAATGGACGGTTAGATGAGTGGACGGATTTTATGACTGGTGCATTTCCAACACAGGAGATAGCACTGAATAGATATCAATTCACTTCAGACTGAAGTACGTCCGTTCTTTCACAGCCAAGCAACAGATTTGGAACAAATTCAGTCCGATCAGTCGCAGCGATTCATGGCACTCCTTTTGTCAAGACCAGAGAGATAGAATAAGATCATGCCCAGGGAATTGAAAAGCCGTAGCTTGACTGAGAAAACCCAGCATCTTTGCAACAGTGAATAAAGAGATGTGAGGCCGAACCATTAAGTTGTAAGCTGCTTGGGACATGGATGTCGGCATCTGCGTAAATCGGAGCGTGCCGTTTTCGTGTAAGTCTTTGAGAACCTGATACAGTTGCACGATCATAGCCACAGAACATATTCCAGAAGCCCGTGAATGAGGGCAGGATACCATAGAGATGTGCAACGCAATCGAGAAAGTGGCCGCCTCCGTGGTGGAGAATCGTGAGTCGTTGGAGAGCCTCGGCTTTTAAGGCATTCAGACGGCTTCCGTAGCTCAGTTGGTTAGAGCGTCGTACTAATACTTCATTCCGAGTATCCGGTAATGCGAAGGTCTCAGGTTCAAGCCCTGGCGGGAGCAATCCCATCGCCTTCCGAATGTTCTTTTTGCCATTTCTGTAACTATCGTGATATGCTTTTGCCGGCGGGCCATGTGTGGCGTTGGTGTTGAGGCTTCGGCGGCTGTTTTCGCTCGTCCGTGCCAACACTTCAGAAGCGCCGCGAAAATGAATGTCTATGCTAGATAAGATAAAGAAGTGGGCCTTGATGGCTATAATGTGATTGGCCGCAGAGCAATTCTCAGTGAGGAAAGCCTCGAAGAATGGCTAGATTTTAGACCAGTTTAGACCAGTTCAGACCAGTTTAGACTACATTCTTAACAATTTTAGGATGAGAATTCATGACTGTGTCGTGGAAATCACACCAGAAAATTGTTTCCCATTGGGAAGTGATCATTAATAGTGTTTAACTACACAGAGAACGTAAGCAACAGTCTACAGCTCGAACACTTCCTCCTGTACAAAGAAAAGCCCTTCTCTATCAGAAACACTACATGCGGCGTATCTACCTTGCTCAATGAGTTGCCTTGGCCCGCATAAGTTCACGGCTGCATCCATGCCAAGATGGTTAGACTTGAGCTGCCTGAACCACTGCTTTAGATCTGGTCGCTCCAAATGGATAGACCAAGGCTGTGGAGAGCTCATGGCCTGCATTTCATGGGACGGGCCGCTCATCTCAACCTCACGATGCCTTCCACCAGTTACAAATATCACTATTTCAAGAGTTGTTGTAGAATCTGGCTTTGCACATGCCTTGGCAAGTTCAGTCAGTTCATCTGCGAACCACTGGATATGCTGAGCATCTCTGACGACCCAAAGAAGATGAACGTGAGACGCGAAACGACTGCCTACATCGATACCCGTTTGTCTGATGATATGAGACGCAATGCTGATACCTGGCGTAATTCCAATGCCACCAGCGACGAGGACAGTCACTGGCAGCAAGCCCCAAGACACTGACCCAACACCGTATGGGCCATCAAGACGCATTTTGAGCGGGTGAGACATCATGCTGTTCGAGTCCAAGGAATCGCATCCGTGCGAATTCCCATCAACATTGCAGTCAGCGTACTGTACAGCCTTGGTGAAGCCCCCAAGACCTCGTACGGCGATTGTCACAATCTTTCTAGGATCATTTGGTGCACTGGCGACAGTGAATGGATGCCAGTTCACAAAGGAGACCCTTGGGATTTGAAGCCAGACAACCTGTCCGGGAGCACGAGTCCTCAGACCCTTGACCTTGAACTTTGTAACGTTTCCTTCGAATGCTTCGACACTCTGCACTTGGATGGTGCGAAAGTTGTACGCAAATCGGATTCCTCGATCAATGCCCCAGAGCAAAAGTCCCGGAAGCATAAATTCCGGCCCATGTGAGGCATGGATCGAAGCCCCAACGACGAAAACAAAGAACAGAGCGTGCGTGTAGTAGAAGACTTCGAAGAAGCGGCGTCGCACAATCGGTAGGGCCGTAAGAAGGAGCAAGGCTAGAGAGACCCATGCCATCAAGCCTACCTGGATCCGATGATTTCCAAAGCTGGTGGTGACCTGTTTTGTCTCGATGTAATGCTGGATATTGAACGATACATGGGCTGTTGCATGAGAAACTGTTGCAAGGCCGATCCAGCGATGGTACTGGAGGAGGACTGGGCTGGGAATACGAAGTAGGGATGCGAATAGATTGTTTCGGGATGCCGTCAATAGTGTGAGACCAGCATTGGCAATTGCTAGCCAACCGTACAGAGTATAGTCGGCCGTAAACTCGTTGGATTGTACGCTGAAGATCAAGTTCAGTGCGAGAAAAGCAGTGAAGCGAGCAGCATCGGTGACGTGCCAGTCGAAGTACGGGAGAGGAAGCGGGAAGCTGTATAGTTTGTGAAGCCAGACAGTAATCCTCCAGTGCAAGACATTCCGATCTTGACGTCGACCTGGGTGAATTAGCGAAGCTTAAACATGGATGAATGAAGCTCCTACACTTGTTATATCTTTGGAAGGCGTAGATACTGAAAGGAACAAGTGATTCTAAGAATATTAAGCCAATAACGCTGCTAAAGTAAACTCTGGCAGCAGTATAGCGATCGATAATCACGGGATCAGTCATTTTCGGATTGTAAGAATGATCAAAAAGCTGAGGTCAAGGTGAGTGATTGACGGTTCAATACTGCATAGGAATGGAGAACACAAACACTAAATACTTGACGGACAAGCCCATATTGTTAAAGCGTGGCCATGTGAAGGTGCTATTGCAACTGATGATTGATCAAACTTACCATTCGAATCTTGTGGCTGACTGAAATCCAAAGAATAAATGCTAAAACGGGGCTTGAGAAATTAACATTTCAGCATGGTAAATGAGAAACACTGTTGATAGATCAAATGTTATGATGCTATCCCTGACGTGGCGACGAGGCTATGCTTGGAGGTGCGGGCGTTGACCACCATCGCTAATCAGAATTTCCTTTTTGGGCAATGCGGATGGAAACAAGCTTAATTTTACGGTAAAATTAGGCAAAGCCCTGCTGTGAAACATTTAGCCTCAAACGCTGAGTCGGATAATTGTTTCTTGGGTTTATTTGTTCTACCATCTGAATTGCCTCTTATAGAATCGAGGTGAAGCGGTACGACAGTATAAGAACATTGAGACAGACAATGAAACCAGCTTTATCAGCAATCAAACTCGCATTACAATCTACTTCCATCTACTGCAACCTTTCTGCAAAGTCAACATTTACACCGAGCCCCAATTTTATTACCTCTTATTTCACAATGGCTTTCAAGCTCGCCGCTCTTCTCTTTGCCTCCACTGCCATGGCCGCCAAGATGGGCGACTCTGGCGCCCTGTCCTCACTGGACGCTGGACTCGGCGGTACAGTTGAGGTCGTCAGCGACACTGAACTCAAGATCACCGACTACGAACTTAAAGACGCATCCGCACCTGCTCTCTACTGGTGGGGATCCAAGACTAAAGACCTCTCATCCGGCTTCCGTATCAACAAAGAGCGCATAAGCGATACCTCATCGAAGATGGACATCATGGTTAAGCTTGATGCTGGCCATACTGCAAAAGACTTCTCTTACGTTGGCCTCTGGTGCGAGAAGTTTGACGCCAACTTTGGCCAGGCAAAATTGACATCTGATGGCGGCTCTATGAATTCGACCGACGAGATGGATACGAAGAAAGATGACATGAAGAAGGATGAAATGAATGGCGCGTCGGCATGTCCCACTGGTCAACCTGCCATGGTTGTGGCTATCTTGAGTCTGCTTGCTTTCTCTGCCTACTTTGCTTGATTACTTGTTGGGGTTGAGAGTTGGTCATGGTAACGGGTACATAACAGATAGCATGTAATTATTTCACTTCAATATCAATGCTTATTGTCTTTGATCATGCAATGACCCCTCTGTTTGCTCAATATTTTCGCCAATGCGGTTTCTCGATATTAATTGTGATGTTTGCGCTCGTCAACAGAAGTGCTAGGCCTTCCTAGCCGCCTAGCGGGTCAAGTTGCTACAGGTACCTGGTGCGCTGTAGATTATAGTCCCCAGCGGGTAACACCCATTAGTCGCGACAGAAGCTCCGGCTGCGTGCCGCTATGTTTGGAGTTACCTAGGTAGTTTCTGTTTCATCCAGAAGGCAGCTGTTGGTTTCAAACTTATTATGATCCCCTGAATATCTCCCATATACGAATTTTCGCTCAGTTCGTTGATCCTTCAATCACTGATCCCCTGTGCCCTTGAGCAGCTTACTCAATTAGGCAATCCTGATTATGAAACTCGAAACAAGCAGGCAGAACAAGCCTCACTGTAGTGTCAGCGCTAAGGTTCTCAGCCCTGCGGGAGCCAAGTCAACAGCTTTACTGCATTCAGTAATTCTGATTA